TACATGTTAACCAGGAGTCACTCATTTATAATCGCGGCATCGTCTGATAAAATCAACATGCATCTAGACTAAAGAGCGGCTATGCGGTGGTTTTGCGATTACTTTGTCTCATGCAGCGCACTGCCTAAAGAAAATGAAAATTAGCTTGTGTTTTACTTACCCTCGAAGCATCCTAGGTGTATATGACTTTCTTCTTTCAGACGAATCCAGTCGGAGTTATATTAAAAATTGTCTTTGATCTTTCAAGCTGTTTAATGGCACTCAGCGGGTGTTGCAGTTAAACAGTCCACAAGTCAAATAAAGCTCACGCATTCATAATAAAACGTGCAGCAGACAGCTCCGGGGGATGAATAAAGGCCCCTTGTAGCGAATCCATGAGTTTTTGTAAGAAAAATATCCATATTTCAAACGTAATAAACACTTTTCTCTCACTTCTGCTGACTGTCATCCACTGAAGCAGTTCCGGCGGATGACATAAGACGCGCGGCGTTGCAGTGATTAGGGCTGTCAAAATGACAAACTAAATTCAAATTTTCTACTTAAATATTATCAAAATTCTAATTATATTCAAATTTAAAAGGCATAATTTCAGTTAGGGGAAAAAAAGCTTTTGGCTTCTCTCAAGAGAGAAGAATAGCCACAAGAGGGCGCATTGTGCAAAATATTATGCACATTTCTTCAAAGCGTAATAAAATAACACGACTATCTTTGGGAATAGTGCATAATGTTTAAAATAATGTTTATAAACCATATATATAATTAATAAAGTTGCTTAAACAACTAGAAAAAAACAGCACCATGCATGCATGTATAGTTTAATACAAAGGACCGAAAACCAATCACAAAGAGTAGGCTACTTGATAAATATGCATTCTGTGTGAACGGCTTGGTTTCAGTTGACGTAAACAACATCATCTCCACACTGATGCTCTCGTTTTCCGCAATATATCGAATGAACAACGTAGCAGCTCCGCATCTAGTGGGCTCAACTGGATAGGCTAACAAAAGCATTAAAAAGCAATGACACTTACATCGTCGTCGCATTTCGTGCGCCACTGATAGCCTGCCTGGCGGCTGACGCAGACCTAAAATTCAAATGCAATGTTTTTGCATTCTTTTTTTAAGGTATATCTAACATTTTGATGATCTAAATATTCTTAAAAATTCAAAGTTTGTTGTCATTTGGAAGTGTGTAGGCCTTCTTGCATTATTATGCTGTTACATTATGATTATATATTCAGTGGCATAAAATGGTCTTTAAAATGGCAATATCGCTTATCGCAATTATTTCTGGGGTAATATGTTGCACAACAAAAAGTTATCATCATGACAGGCCTACTCGCAAGACTAGCATATCTCAGAGGTGCGTGCGCTGCACATACGTCATACGTCGGAACTGATCCGCGTATGATAGATAACGGAAGTGAGAGAAAAGTGTTTATAAGCCAAGGAGAACAGTCTACTGTGCATGCATATATGAATTTACACTAGAGTTCAAACCATTTTGATAAAGTGTTGGTTTTAATCAGTAAGGAAGCATTAAATTGATCAAAAGTGGCAGTAAAGACATTTATATTGTTACAAAAGAATTCTATTTCAAATTAATTCTGTTCATTTGAACTATTTAAAGAATCCTGAAAAATATGTATATGAAAAATGGATTTCAAAAGATTAAAAACAATGAAGCACACTTTAAATGAAAAGTGATTAAAAAAAAAATCATACAATCAAGTTATTGACAAGTATTAAATATGAGCTGAAGAAACCTACCTTCAAACACACACACACAATATGATTTGAGTGGCATACACCCCTTTCAAAAGATAATGTCAGTAATGGAGTGTCTTACACTCAGTAAGTTCTCTTCAAAAATATTTGCATGGCCCAGTTGAAGTGCTAATGAAAGTCAGATGGGGTTGAGTGTCTTCACACCTCTGCAGATGGCACAGGATTCAAGAAAGCATCACCCCACTGTGGTTTACATTGTTTACCCACCCTCCCACTCATTCTGACTAAACACACACACACATAATGAAATACATGGTGTGATGGGAAATTGGGAATACTGCTGAATAGACCTAAAATGACCAACCGCAGACATTAGAGGGATGTGTTTTCTGTGTGCTCTTCACGGAGATAAGCAATTAAGTAACCTTTAACCTAACGGTTAAAGTTCTTGGCTAACATAAAGGCTGCAGGTTCAAGCCTGTGTGTGAATGTAGAATTGATATCCTTGAGCAAGACCGTTCATCCCAGGGGCACAAGATGGACTGTCATTAGTACAGGTCACTTTGCATGGGGGAAAAACATATGGCACTAAATAAATAAAGTACTTTGCTTTCTAGAAATATACAAAAATCCGATACGTTTGTGACCTTTAATGCAGAAAACGGAATCCATATACATGAATAATACATTTTTTTTATAATAATTAAAAAAAAAAAAGTCACTGCAGATGGGACACTTTGCATAGCATTCAGAAGAAAAGCCTCAGCTTTGATGTGACGTTTTAACCCTCTTTTCCTGAGAAAACCCCGTTTAAGTGCGTGTAGCCTACAACAGTCTATTTTAGACCATTTTTTTTTCAAATGAGGGACTATAGAGATTTTAATTACAAAAGTAGGTAAAATTAAGTAATACATCCATACTAGTTTAAATATCGTCCTTTAAAAACGGAAGAAAACTGTTTTTAAAAACCACACGCTGCACGCGCATCATCTCGACTAAAGTTTCCATAACACGTGTTAACCGTGTACATTTCCACACAAAGCAGAACAATTTACAAAACTAAATCTTTATTATACACACACTGTCGCTTATTTAGGCAGATAATGCCATTGTTTCATTTGTCTTAACGTTACTTTTTCTTTTTTAGTTTCTCTGTACAGGTATCGGTATAACCTTTTCTCTCAAACTGGAGCTCCACCCAGAGCTCAACAAAAGACCTCATGACCCACCAACAACACACCAGGCTGCAGGCAAGCTTCACCAACCACAATAACACACGGTAAACTTTATTTGCAGTGATAAAATGTCAAGCGTTGTGCCTTAAAAATGACAAAAAGCATCTCAACATGGCTTGAAAACGCGTTGCGTGCATATAAGAGAAAGTTTCATTCATTGAAAAGTCGGTTGGTGCAACATGAAACACGGATTATTTCTACTTTCTACGCGCAAAAGTATGAGCATTCGTCTTTAATAAAAAAAAAAAGGGAGTAGTAAAACAAAGGACGCATCGACCCTAAAACCAAAATCTCAGAATTTACAAATCACAAGAACCAGGTGAAAAGGAAACACAATGGCTTTCTCAAAACCTACAAAAACAGTGCATTTGGCCATCAGAAGTACGTTTAGTACTAAATTATATACGACATTTTTGATTCTGAACATGTCTGTGATTTCTGAAATGATAGGCAGTTCGTTCTGATATGAAAGTTACACTTTCATGCATCTGAATTCACGCGTTTCAGTGCAATGCAAAGAAACATTAAACGCCATTTCGTGGTTTAACTGACGTTAAAGTACACAAACTATAAAATCATTCAAGCCTTACCTTACTTCTCACTTCAGCAGATAAACCATATGCAGGGCCCTTGTTGAACTGAGCCATTGTTTTTTATTTCACGTCCTTTCGCACTAAAGAAATGATCAGAAATCTCCCGGTTTCCGATGTGGTTCCTCTTATTCAAGAAAAGATGCTTTGCACAACTTAAAAAGACAGCAGACACGTGAGTTTAGGCTAGTCAAATATGACTGCCGATTGCCCCAGCTGAGCGGATGCACTTTTCAGGAAAGTAATTACAGAGCAGCGCAGCAGAAGGTTTGCTGAGTGTGAGCGAGTTTAAGTTGTGAATATTAATTAGGTTCCGTGACGCAGCATAGTGTACCTTCCTGATTGGCTGAAATGCAGATGTTAGTTTGTGGCGCTAGTGAAATAGCTGAGGTGGACAAGTAGATATAACTGCAGACCGGAGATCTCCAAAATGGGGCGTGAACTCCAAAAGTGGGCAGAACCTCCAAAATGGGGCGGGTCTCCTCGCGCAAAGACTTTCACCATTGGCTCTGGCGCTCCAGCCAATTGTTATTGACTTACATTTTATCGCATAATCTTATTAACTGTTTATCTCCTGAACTGCATCTTTCTTTACCACGCTATTCAGCGCCAATCACGCCGTGCAGTCAATTTCACTGGTTAAGGTTAGGGTCAGGTGTGGGGTAGGTTTAGGGGTTAGCATTTTTTGTAGCATAATGTAGGAAATCAACGCTTCTTCTTCTTCTTCTTCTGTTTATCGGCGGTTTTGGCAAACCAACTTAAAAGGTGCATTACCGCCACCTACCTACAATTTCAGTTTGTTTATTGTGAAATAACTCAAACACATATGTTTTTTTTTTCTTTCCTCTGATAAGCATTGTTCAGGGCTGCCATTCCCAAAAGCTTTAATGCTTTCTTATGATACTTTTGGGAAACGCAGCCCTGTTTGAATGCACTGTCAGAAGTGAGTGAACGCTCTCTGTGATGGATTGGTTCTGTCTTGCAACATTTGCGTGTCCGGATGAGCAGGAAAATAGTTCTATCCTACACAATTATTCGCTAACATAGGTTATTCGTCCAATTCAAGGCATATTGTACGCAAAATTTCTAACCGACATGCACTGCTTCAAGTCAGCCGCCGATCGGTTTGCGCGGCGCCGCATGAAGTCAATTAGAATATCTAATTGAATATCAATTAATTTGCGTGCAGAAGGTTACCGAGCGAGGTCAGCTGACTCTATTAAAGTAACCATGAAATCAAAATTGAAAATTCTTATTTTTTAATGGAATACTGTAGTGTTTATTATAAATAATTTATCCATGCACTTCATTTTTTTTTTTTTTTAATTCATGTGCCCTTTTAATCTTTAATCAAAAACATTAACTTCCCCTCCCCCTCAAAACGACTCCTCTACTGTTTTGATCACGAGCTATGGCGCACTAAACATTGAAAAGATATTAGGATATTACGACAACATTACTCTTAGAACATCGTAAACTAATTATTATTTTTTTCATGAATATGACAACCTGATGGAGGATGCACTCAGTCATTCAGGCAGTCTCTGCTAGGGTGTCGGCGGTGAATCCAGTGGAAATAAATCCCCCACAACTAACTACAAACTGGCATTCAGATCTGCCTCCATTTTGTTGGCAGCGCCCCAACTTCCAACGTTCCAATCAATTCCCGAAGGATGAAATCAAGTCCCGCCCTCTCATTTTAGATGCCGTTTCACTCGGATATATGTCACAGCAGAGAAGAAAAGACAATCGCAACTTCCGTTTCATGCCGACTTTAAAGGCAGGGGCGCGGGAAGATGTTTTAGGTTGGGGGGTGGGGGGCGATAGAGGCCATTTACACTAAGTGCAAATAGCAATAGATGCTATTTATACTATGTTAAAATAGCAGGATATTCTGCTAATTATTTATTGCAAATAGTGGCAATTATCTGCACCTCAGCATTGTAATACATTATAAAAAAGTATGCAATAATAACTTGAGTAAAAATTATTCATTTTAATTCAAATTATTAAATGGATGCCACCTTATTGGGACAAGCCCTCTACACCAACCCTAACCCTACCCGATACTTTATTTCCAACTTTTTGATTATTTCCTTCATTTTTATTAAAAATAAATGCTTTTCTGATGTGATGTGATTTGAAATTTGAAAAGGGAGAAAAAAAGTTTGATTCGAACCCGGGTCGATCGCGTCAAAATGGGTATGGCACACACTTTACCATCTACGCCACTGAATTTGACGATTGATGACCATCTTTTGTAATGTTGACTAGCCCAATCACACGTTGGTGGGTGGAGTTATTTGCACTTTTAGTGTAAATAGACACTCCGATTTTTTGAAGTCTTGAAGTTATTGAAAGCAAATGCTGCCAACACAGTAGGGGAAAAAAAGTGTCACAGACAAAATAAAAATGTTGTACAAAAATTGTATTTCTTATTTTTATTCGACTTGTCAGGATACAATTCGTTCAACATTTACAACAATAGGGAAAAGTGTCACAGAGAAAAAAAAAATAAAATGTAGGTTGTACAGAAATAGCCTAGCTATTTTTATTTGTCTTGTCAAAATACTAAATTCGTTTAACATTTTGCTGTACACACAGTAGGAAAAGTGTCGCAGAGAAAAATAAATACGCTACGACATCTGTCATTTAAAATGATAGGCTAAGCAAAATATAAACAAATCCCAGTTGAGCGTCCTTCAAGGACAGCGCAGCCACACTTTGCTCCATCCTTATTCTGCTCTGTCACTCATCGACAATCTGCCTGTTCTGTCTGAGGACCGTATTTACCACCGTTAGGCTACAGCCTGCACGGAGCATCGTTATTCACATGCTGCGCACAGACCTCGCAAATAAAATGCGTTACTCAGAAAGCGCTGGTTCATGCATAACAGTCCTGAGTGCAGGCTGTACCGGTGGTCAATAAGAATAAAGGACAGATATGTTGTTCTGAAAGGACGTCGGGAACGGGATATTGTTAGACCGCCCGCTCCCGTTCAAATTACACCAGAGTTACCGACCGCGTTTTATTCGGGAATTTAATCCCATGTCGCAAGAAATCTGGTCGGGTCCCACGGGAGAGCCGCCGGAATGCAGACCTCTAGCTGCAGCACCCTTAGCACCCCCACTTCCCGCGCCTATGATTAAAGGTCACATATTTTACACCTTTCTGGAGTTTTATTTTGTCTTGATGTCCTTAAGAATATATATTTGCGGTATAAGTACCAAAAACCATCTCAATATATTTTTACAGCTCCTCTCTCAGGAGCTCTGCAAAGAACATTAATATTCATGCACCTCTCTTCTGATTGGCCTGTTTTTTTGAGTGACGCACGGCCAGGCCAACCACAGGTAACTAGGGTCATGTATGCTGTAGCCTGCTGTGGATTGGTGATACTCAGAAGTAAGGTCAATAGAAACACTGGTAACGATGGTCACTGCTGAGGGAATTGTTGTCCGGCCTTACATGTTTGAGCCGAACTCAGACCCCGAATCGGCGACGACAGGAGACAACCAACCACCTCCTCAAACGATGTAATGATGTAGTTTCCTGACATCGAGCCTGAACAGCGTTTTCTCGACATGTTTCCGTGTTGTTGTTGCTCAGCAATGGCATGGACGCGATGTTGTCTGGGGGTTTGGCAAAAGGAGAGTGGGACGGTGGGCGGTGCTCGGGGTGGTGACTGAAGGCGGTGACTGTGTAGTTTTGACGTCACCTTTTTACGGAAGTCACAACGGCTCATGAAAAATCACAGCTGCTTTATGCAGGCTGTGTGCATTTGACTGTGGATTGACTGTTTTGAAACTTATATGGTAGTTACATAGCACCTAGACCTCAGTTATCATGAAAAAAGCCAGGTAATTTCAGTTTTGACAATATGGGACCTTTAACATTCGTAACCGCCCTCGTCGTAGTACAACTTCTTGTAATTATTCATTCCTTCAAAATGTAAAATATTAAAACAATTACAAACTACTACAGATTAATGATATGTAACTGAAATAATAATTTGAATAAAACAAATAGAGAAACGTTTTTCTAAAATAATAATAATTTGAATCCCTGTTCAGTAGGCTATGCCACTTTTATTAATATACCTGCTGTGATCAAAGCAATAGAAGATCGTTATTTGTGAATTTATTATCAACATATGTAGACTGTTTAACACATGCTAAAAATACCTGAAGGTGGTGGCCTTGATTTTATGATTTTTTTTTTTCTGTGGGACATCCTGCATGTGGAGTTCAGCCTCCTGTCACCATGTTTCCTGAGCCTCTGTTATCCTGAGACACTGCTGTCCATTAACAGGAAACAACAATAAAGACTCAATGCCACGTCATGTTATAGCCTACTATAGTTACTTTTCTCATCACCTGAAATGTCTTTCACTTCTGAAGACGAAAGATGCGTCAGTACAGACATACAAAACTGTTTTAAGCCCCCTTTATAATCAAAATGGAAAGTACCATCATGCCTCTAGACATACAATTAATTAAGGACAAGTCAAAGCATGCATACTAATGATATAGTGGACTGGTGTTTAGCCCATCACTATAGCGATCAAACAAAGAAACTGTCAGAAAACAAGGTGTGTTTGCAATTGTAAGTGATTGTTCCCAGACTTTTGGTTGAAGACAGGAAAAGCACAAGACCTATTTCCACTACATAACTGCTTAAACCTGAGTAATACTTTACCATTAATATCTGCATATGGGTTAGTATCGCATTTATATCAGTAATGTATGGAAGCCCATTTCTGCCACAAAAAAAAAACATGCTTGGGCAAATCATGATTATGTGATAAAAAGCTAAAATTATAAGTCATAAATGTGAGATAAAAAGTCAAAATCAACATAAGTAGAAATAATGACATAAGTAACTTTGTCACAATGACTTAACTAAGACTCAGACTTTTTATCTCTTAATTATGATTAGTATGGTATAATTTTGACTTTTTGCCATAATTGTTTTTTTGTCAATTTTTTGTCATAAGTATGATTTTTTTTCTCTCATAATTTCGACTTTGTCATAATTATGACTTGTAAGTTTGAATTTTTGCATCAGTCTTTTATGTATAATTTAGGTTTTTTTTCAGAAGTGTGACTTTTTATCTTGTAATTTCAGCTTTTTATGTCATAATTATGATTTACCAAAGCATGTTTTTTTTTTTATGTGGCTGAAATGGGCTTTCATAGTAACAGGAGAGCAACTGACATACGAACCCAACGGTCACAAATGGATTCATTTGTTTAAACTCGTTATAGTTTGCAGTCATTAAGTAAATCATGTTTGCAGTCTTTCAG